TACACAAATTTAAATCCTTAAAAACACTTATCATCTTTGAAAATAATTCAGGACTATCCATTGTTGACATGTCATTGGAGCCATCTCAACAACTCGATGTTTTTTGAATGATGATTTTCAGAATGTATGTCATTTGCATGATAGAAAAGGTAAAATGTCTATTATTAAGGTGCATTTTTATTGATAATCAATAATCACATTTATAACAGCTTTAATATATATGAAAATGCTCACTGACAATTTTATGCTCTACTTAACCAATAAGATTGATATTAATAAAATTAAAAAAAAACTCTTCATTTACCTTTAATGATAGCACACTAGTTGATATGGTTTGATGAATTTCAGTTATATTGAATGCATTCACAATTTCTGTTAGAAGTCCATAAAAAATCTTTTTGTGCCTGCTTATTGAATTTTCTTAAATAGAGTGAGAAATCTGTTTACTTGAATTCTTGGAGTTAATAGAGTCACAAAAGAATTTTCAGTCTTATATTTAATATACATTTGCAATGATACTTGGCATTGCCCAGAACAAGACTCTTTCCTTTGTTTCACTGTTTAATGCAGTTATTTTGTTGTTTTGATAGATTTGCATATACTATAAAATGTTTTTTTTTCCAAAATTGTTTGTATTGGAGCAATTCAATAAGTTTAAACATTCTAGTAGTGCTTCATCTCAATCTATAAAAGGCAGGATGTGTGTGTGTAACGAATGCACGGCCGCAATTTTCGACGGATTTGCACCAACATGCACATGCTCCAAAACCAACTTCGCATTTCCCAACTCGCATTAATAGTGGAAATAATTGATTTTTTTCATGCTTCTACGGCAGTTTTCATGTAGTTTGCGGCCATTTTCTACTAGCCAGAGTGAGAGCCAATAGCTGGCTGCCACGAATAGGCAGGAAGATTCTATTGGCCAGTGTGAGAGCCAACAGCTGACTGACACAAATGTTAACTAGCATGCAAAAAAAAATCGATAGCTGCATTCGTCACAAGTGGGAAAAATTTAAATCTGCCTGGCACTTTACTCTAATTGGCTCATTCGCTTGCTTAAACTCAATGTTGATTCTGATTCTGCAGAACTGGGTTGGGTGTGAAAAAGTATTTGTTGTTAACATTCTTTTTTCATTTGGTTTTTCCAGTTTCCAGAGTCCTTTTTTAAAGCTGATCGTTTTGTGTTCATTTTGTTTAGTTCTTTTTTCGTAACAGATCTATGTTTAGTATAGAGCTTAGAAAAAATTTGCAGTGTGAGATAGGCAAGAAGTAAGGCATGTAGCAACATCAGCATGGCAAAGGGCGCTCCTTTAAAGGCAAGGAAGGGCAAAAATATTTTAAGTCAAGTGATAGCCATTGCTGTATGAGTCGTACGATTTTTGAATCAAGCACAGGCAACGCTGGGCCATGCTGCTAGTTTATTCTATAATAAAGGACAACCTTCTGTGTGTGTCAGGCTTACTCCAATATTTAGACCCTTAAAGTTACATATTCAGCATGTTCCAAGAAGGTTTTGATAGCCAATTTTATTATTTTTTTTTTAATAGAAGCAAAGATATTTGTAAATTAAAACACATAATAGCATAAGAAAATATAGTAAAAAGTCTACTGATATTTTAATATTTCCAATTTAAACCTGATGTTATTCAATTATTTTTTTCAATAAACTATAGCAGAATTAATGAATGACTGCATTTACTTTTATTGCTTTGAACTATTGTTCTCTTCTTGGTTGATATAGATGTTATTATAGACACATTTCAACCAAATACCCTCTGGCCATCATCAGGTGTCCATCATTTGACTGATATGGGATATCTGTTGATTATTGTGTTATTCCCTGTCATGCTAATTATTATATGTTCCTGCTGATCTTGTGATAACCAAATATTGAAATGATCTGATATTAAATATAAAATATACAAAAATACACTACTAATATCACTTGGAAAAGTGGCATCGTAATAGGAGTTGGTTACACGTGTTACTGTCACGTAGTAGTGGTCATGAGTTCAATCACTGGATCAGGTAGTGAAACACTGATTCAACAAGAACAAACAAACAACTGGTATCACAGGGATAAAATAACAATAATCAACCGATATCTCATACCAGTCAAATAATGGACACCTGATGATGACCAAGAATACTTGGCCGAAATATTGTGTCTATAATAACTTCTATATCAACCAAGATGAGAACAATAGTTTGAAATAATAAAAGTATATTAACAATTACTCATGTCAGAAATGAATGACTGAACTGTAGAATATTCCATACCTTTTGTTTAAAGAATATTTTTTAAATTACTAATAATGAGTTATTTATTTTATATAAAGACACAAATATGAAAAAGCTAAACCATTAGCAAAAACATTAATCAAATTTCTATTCCTATGTGTGTGTGTGTGTTTGTATGTGTAAATTACAGTTATTTAAAAAAAAGTGTCAAAAATTAAATGGAAAATGACAAGATCAAAAGAATACATGGACAATCATTTAATAAATGGCTTATTTTAAAATTACAAATGTTTTTCATGAAGGACAATATGAAAAAAATTCCACATATTATCCATTAGAACAATATTAGGCATAAAAAATCTTTAAATAAATGAAAAATTATCCAATTGACATGAAAAATGTTTTAGTTCACAAATATATTCAGTTATGTAAAGACTACAGAAATAACTTATCAAAACATCCTTGGAACATGTTGAATCAGAATAAATGTAGTTTTAAGGGTCTAGATATAGTACTTTTGGAGGGGCACTTCGACATGGTGTAATGATTAGCAAACATGCCTTGCTAGATCAATTACGACTGAGTAGTGACTTCAATTCTCACTGGGTACTCGATACTTTCAGCCTTGTACCACATCTAAACTATGCTTAGTAAATCACTGTAGTAGTTTTTGAGTTTAAGTTGGAAACACATGCACACAAAAGATCTCAAATAGTTAATGATTCATATCTTATATATCTATTTAAATAGTAACAAGAATTAATTTTTATGAATGTTGTTTTAATGAATGACAAGCTTAAATATTAATATTGGTCATCATAAATTTGTACATGACTCATGTTAATTTGATATAATGCACAGACAAATTAATGAATAACAAAACAGTTATTTTTAAAAACTTGGGTCTTAAAGCTGAATATGCAAGTTAACTATCTTCATTAAACAAGAACTACTAAGTTGGGCAAAGGTATAAGACACATGCTTGGAGATATAAATGATAAAGCAACATTAATGTCACATTTTTGCATATTTGCAGACACACATACACTACTGACTTTATATATGAGGATACTTTTAAAGTAATGTCTTCAATCTATTTCCATGGAAAATGCAAAAGATTTAGTGAACAAAATAACAGCATTGGATTGAGCAAGTTTTCAGTTATAAAACACTATTTTTCCATATGGTTACCACCATTGGCTATACGTTTTCACCAGTGATGAACAAGAGTTATGAATGTGCAATAACTGTTGAAACACATATATATATATGTGTGTTTGGAAATTTTAAATTATTTTAGCATTTGAAATAAAGTTTATTTGATTTAGGTTAGGTTATGTTATGTTATTTAGTCATTTCAGTTGTGATGTACTTGGTGTGTAGAGGGGCAGTGGCTGTTATGTTGTTGATAGAAGTCAGATGTAGAAGAAACGTATGTAAGGTTCAGATACTCCTGCCCGCCAGGCCCAATTACATAAAAAGTTGGACTTTGATTAAGTCCAAAGAAGAAGGCAAAGAAAGCAAACAAAACACAAGACCGATAATATATGTATATACAAATATATATTAATAACAAGTTACAATACATGGAAACAGTACAAAGGACGAAGTGTGTGTGAATATTCTGTATGTGCGTGCGTGCGTGCGTGTGTGAATATTCTGTATGTGCGTGCGTGTGTGTGTATTGTGCTCAGCGTGTTTCCACGCTATTCCTTTGTTAGCACCTACATTTCGAGGTTGATAGCTGAAATCCTGAAAGAAAAAAAGAGATTTACCTCAAGGTGTCGGTGCGCAGGCCTGACGGAAAAAAAGAGATAGAGGCGAAGGGTCAGCGGCTATTTATAGCCAGGGAAGAGAGACCCCTGGTGAAAGGGTTAACTCTGACAGGTGGTAGTGTAGTAGGAGTTTGCTTTCATACCTCCATTTGGAAATAAGATCTGATCTTTTGTTTAATTGTGTTGGAAAGATGATTATTGCTATTTTCTTATCTAAGCAAAGGTTGCATTATTTTCAGATGATGTAAGCAATGTACTTTTTTTTATTGTTTTTCATGTTATTTTTGGTGTGCAAACAGGAGCTTTTTTTACTCCCAGATTTTTTACTCATATGCAAATAAAGGAATAAATCAGAAACAGTACTCTATAATTAGTATTTAATAGTTACCTCCCTTAAAAAGTTTTTTTGTGGGATTTTTTTTCAGTTAAGCACAAACACTGAAATCATAATGTTATTATTCAGTTAAAGATCATTCAGATTGTTTTGCTTCTTTATGTTAGTGCTTTTTTATGCCATTTTTTCCTGGGAATGCCACTCTACATATTCCTTTTCTTTATTATCTGTAAATTTGCCTCCTTGAGAAAATGATTTCAGAAAGATAGTGAAGTGGTTTCCTATTGATGTCTCCATGGTTTTGAATTCAGCATTGTAATTCTCTTGGACATCCCAGTCACCTCTGCTAATTAACCCAAACCAGGAAATGGAGTTGGGCCTTTTCCTAGGGCATTAGTGCAAAAATTCATTTTATGGGTACCCCAATTTATTATCTCTGGCTTCCATGTACTGTTTTAGCTACCTTTTTAGTGGTTACATACAGACATACAAAATCAGACCTTTAGTGTTATATAGACTGAATGTAATAATTAATAGAGAAAGACAAATACATAAAAATGACTTTCCTGAATATGCAACATCACAAACCTATCACAACTCTCTATCATTATTTCCATGGCAAATGTTCCATCATTTATTTACACCAAGGCTTGTGGCCACATGACATTGAAACACTGGTTCCCATACAATCACCAAAGTTAAGCAACATCTAGCCTAGTCAGTACTTAGATGGGTGACTGCTTTGGAATACTAGGTACTGTAAGCTTAGATGAGTGGGTGGTGTAATGGATAATGGCTCAGAATTCTTAATCAGAAGGCTGAGTTTCACTTCCCATTGGTCTTGTTATATTCACATATAATAAACCCAAAGATTCTTGGGAAAGGTATAAATTCATTTCTTCCCCTAGCTAATTAGTAAGACTTGTATCACTAAACCATTATTATCTCCAAAAAATAAAAATATTTTTACAATCTAAGAATATTTTCTGACTTTAAATAACCTGCAATGAGTTGATAAGCCATAGAAAATGAATGAATCAATCAATTTATTTACACCAGTTCAGACCTTTACAGCTAGGACATACCATGCTACTGTTGAATCGCTTTCATTTCCACCATATTCCAATTGTGAGCTGGAAGTTCAAATCATACAGCTTCCCCACCCCAACTACTACTTTGTAGAAGAGACTCCCATGTGGGTGCTTCTCTGAACACTACAACATTAACCTTAAATCAAGGGTCAATTGTTATCTGTCCTTTTTAAACTCATAATCTTGACTTCCTACTACCTCTTTATATATCACATCTCATTCATCATTACCATTTTAAGTGAAACCCTCTATCTTGAGTGGCTCTCTAGCTTTCTATTGGGTGAATTTTCTTATTAAAAAAATCACATGATTAACAATTCTGTAGAAGGATGAAAGAAAGATGTTAATTTTACTGGAAAATAGGTTTGTAGGTATACAGAAGGCAATTATCTCCCTTTGGTGGAGATAAGTCACATGGGTCACTTGACAGCCGCTTAGTGACATTGACTTGAGAAGCAATCAATTTCAGTCGGTTTACAGTAGCCAAACTGAGAGGTTGCTTTTTTTAGCCTCCACCAGCCTGGGCAAAGGCTAAATCTGCCTCCTCAGCCACTTACAAGTCCATGGTGCCCTTTCCCTTTGGGAATATATCTTTCCAAAATATAAAAAAAAAACTCCAGCTTGCAGTCCTCAATTTGGGAAAACCCAAGACATGCTGTTTCCCACTTGTGTAATATGTCCTCACCTGGGACATATTAGATAAATCTGACCTGTTTGAATCTGGAGTCCTAAACATGATTTCTCCAGACACAAGAGTATCTCCATATTATATGTAAGACCCTTCCTTTTTGTTTCTCCTTACACTCTGCTCACTCTGTAGATATATGTGATATATTATTCTCTGCATGGGACACATGTATATATGTATATATAGATTCATGTATGTCTTAGTGGTATAAAAATTTATCTGAGAACAAAGCGTGTTTGTCATTCCTTTTCCTTTCAGCTATTCTGTTCTATCCGTGAAATACAGTGTTATCACAGATATAATAATGCCCATAATGGGAGAAATATAAATAGGTGAATAAATCTTTCTTCCATAGCTCTCTCTCATTACAGGCTTATTTAGTGCCACATTGAGGAGTGTGTGGGGGTGCTGAAAAGTTATCAGCCCACTCCATTTCCCAAACTCTGACCAAAAGACTAAGCACAGGATTTATTTTGAATCTCTTCTTTGTTGGGCTGAGAACTTTTCAGACCCCCCCCATGTTGTACTAATACTAAGTGTACTTGAACAGTATTTAAGTAGTTTTGCAGTAGCATTGATTATATTTTTTTGCATGAGTAATCTATGATTTTCATCTGTGTAAATAATTCTGCTATTGCATGTATAAAAGAACTCTGACTTTTTAAAAAATCATTAAAAGTAAATATATCTAAAATAAATAATTAACATGAAACAAAATAATTAAAAATCAATGTATTAGCAACCTGATTTCCTCTGCTTACTAATGAAATACTCAATTTTTATGACAATATGAAGCATATTCACTTATTCATGTCAAGTAATGCCTCTTGACAGATATCATTACAAAAAAGAGTTTATCAGATTATGTAACTGATAAAGCTATATAAGGCCACATTGTATTTAACTTATAGAATAAATGAACTTTTTCCTACCTTGACCTCATCACTTCCATTGGAAAAAGATACTTGTTTAATAGGAAAAATCTTTGAAAGAATTTTCACACAATCCAAACAGGATTCACTTGGACTCTGGCCATTTACATTTTTTGTAAACTTTACTCGGAATCGTCGTAAACTGTTCTGAAAAAGGGAAAGCAAAACCATTTCCAGGAATCACTCTTTCATCTTTAAAAGAAAAGTCTTGTTATCTATATATTAATACACATCTACCTATGTATGGTTTGTGTTACACTTGGTATCATAGATAGAGAGAGAGGGAAAAGAGAGAAGGACATATTAAAACAGAGAGGGTTGTAGAGAGACAAAAAGAGAATGCAACGAAAGGAGGGATTGGAGCAGAGGGTCATTTTAGATGAAGGCAGTTGTTAATAGTGAGGGTTTAAACCATGTTTTATGACCTAAAAATCTGTTGAGAACAAATTCACCCATGACCTGCAAGTCAGCTTTTGAAATTATAATCTTTCTTCTTTCTAATCTTCTCTTCCTGAATTTGTTACAGACTGAAGGAATCCAGATTCTGATGAGCATCTAGCAGGGAAACAGAAAGAGAGAGGGACATAGATTGCAAAGAGAGGGAGATAGATAGATAAAAAAGAGTGTAACACAGAGAAGGATTGGAGGTAGAGAATTTTAGACAGTTTTTTGTAGTGAGGGGTTAAATCCGGTTTTGCAGCCTAATGATCTATTGCAGACCATTCAGTATTTTTAAGAGAGACTATCACTTTTCTTATAATTATCTGGTAATGATCATGGGTTGAAAAGTACAGAATACAGCATTAAAAAATTATTATTTAATCCATGTAATTTACATGGCCGTACTAGTTTAAAATATAATATTAAAATTGTAAAAAAAGGTTTGTAACAAAACTTTGTTGTATGCATTATTGAATATCAGATTACTTTGTGGGGATTACCTTCACTTGGTCAACCAAGATGCCATTAGGTGATGCTGTTTAAGGACTATAAAAGAAAGAACACAAGCTTTGTCAACACACAAGCTTCTGTTCCCACTGGGGAGAACTTCTTTCCCCTGAGTGACTGAACTTGCACACACACACTGATACACATACATGTGTATCATATGTACAGCTGCCAAGCATTTATGTTGTAACCTAGAAAAGGTTACTGAATAGAATAATCACATGAAGGTTGGTAATGAACGATAATACTTAGGATATGAACAACACATATAAGACTCACCAGTGGCATGTAGAAGAAGTAGTCAACTGCTCAAAGTGAGTCAAGTGAATTCCACAATGAATCTTCAACTGCAGACCAACATACAGTATTTATTTCCATATTTATGTGAATGGAAGCATACCCATTATCATCCGTAGGTATGCTACAACAAATTACAAGCACTCACACACACACACACAGAATTGTAATTGTTGTGAAAATATAGTTTTATTTAAAACTATGAAAGGCTTATTTGTTTATAATTTACTTGTGAAAATTTTGGTTTCCGCTGCTTTTAGTTGAGTGAGAAACAGTATCTGCAATAACTTTCTACTTTTATATGAAAATAAAATAAAAGCAATAAAAAGAAGCAAGAATGGTAGAATAACAAGAATGTGAATGCAGAATCCTATCTGAAATTGAAAATTGATTTATTACCAAATCATTTCATAGTTCATTTGTTAAACTCAACAATAAACAATCATCTTAAAATCAAGACAACTCAAAATAGTAACAACAGTGAACTGAAGTTATATTAAGAATATATTCTTTTTAATATATATTTTTATAATACAATAAGGAACAAATAGAAAATGTTTATAAATCTAACATTTCACTTTTATTTTTAAATAAAAGCAAAAATTGTTAGACTTATAAATATAATTCTGTCAGATTCTGATCTAAATTTGATCCGGAATCATATATTTTTATATATTATAGTTGAAGTTATATTAAGAACATTAATATTGCATGATAATAAAAGTGATATGCAGAAGTACATCAATAAGTCTGTACCCTAAGGATGAAAAACATTTATTTTACACCACAGCAAATATTTCAGCATAATCTCATTTCTAGTCAATGCACTTAACCCGATGGCTTCTCCTTAATTTCATAAGTCAGAGTAGCATTTTGTATGTCAAAATTGTTTTGTTACAGTAAGCAGCCAATGCATGGAAAAATGCCAAACTATTAAAGAATATAAAAACTCTCAATGTCAACCAATTCATTTAGAAACTGAAAAAATTTCTTACTGAAATGCATTGAAGAAAAAGTCATCCCACGGTGCATAGATCAAAATTTAGCTAATAACTATATCAGGGTATGGATTTATTGTACTAACCTCATCACTAGTAGAAAAAAAAGACAATAACAATATTTCTGCCTGAATTTCTAGGATGAAGTGTCATTATTTATTGGCAGACTAATAGCAATCTTAGACATTTCCTTATAAGGAAACAATTGGCATTCATTGACTAAACAGCCAGTGACACTTTTGGTTGAAACTTATAAATGCTTTCTCTTAAAACAATTTTTCAGGAAAATAGATTTCTCAAGTCCACTTTTATTGCTCTTTCCAGTATTGATGGGGGCTTCCTTAAGTCCTCAAGTGGTGTGGTTTCTGTTATTTGGTACAGTTCTTTGTTTGTGATTCTGCAGTGCCAGTGCATGAGGCTTAAAGAAGGATGGTCCAAGCTAAGACCTACAGGCTTCATTCACTTGAAACTTTTTTTAACCATTGATGTGATAAAGTAGTTGTATACAGCTGATAGTTTAGATATTTTTGAATGGGTTTGGTGCTATACATGTCTCAATCTGATGAGGCTATTTAAGAACATGACTTGAATTCTTAGGTTAATGTTTGCACATAGATCAGCACTATATACAGGGGAGTTTTCAATTAATGAAACTGAGATAAAAGGGATTATGGAAGAGGACTGACAAAGATATCTATTTTTGTGTCTAGTGAGATAGGGACTGGTAGATTAGAAAAAAAAACCTTCTAGATGTCAGTACATAGGAATATTTCTATAGTTATTTGTGAAAACCAAACTAAATGCTATTAA